TTGGCTGCGAGAAAATATCGCAATTTCATATCCAAATTTAGATTCATGCAGCAAACAGGAGAAAAGAATTTACCTTTAACTTAAGATGCAATGTCAAGTTAAGATTGCATTTGATAATCATCCTCCGCAGACCTACAGTATGCCATCTACAGATCTAAAGGAACAAACTGTGCACTTGAAGGGTGACCTCGGTATGTTGAGACAACCATAAAGTCATAAGGCACATCATAATGATTAAAATGAAGTTGAGCACATCAGGCAGAGAACATCAAAATACAGTGTTAGTGGATCCAAGAGATGTAATAAAAGTTCTACAAATGACAATGATACAAGGTCTATGAGGCACCTTTTGCTTTTATATATGCAACTGGAAAACTATGTGATTAACAATGTGGCAACTTCACCTTCCTTACAATATTCAAAATGCTACATATCTGAAAAGTGAAACTTAGAAAACTGATATTTACCTCTTGTTTTGTTGTTTTTTTTTTAATCTGATTTTTTTCTTGTTATTTTTAAAGCAAGAACAACAACAGTACTGGCCAGCCAACAGACTCCACGGATATTTTAGGATAGAATAAAAAACAAAAATGCCACCACAACACAGAAACAGCACAAGAAGAAACAGCACTGTGAGGGACTGGCTCTAACTGCATCTACGGGGGGGTAAGGTAAGGACAAAGTACCAGGACACAAACACGAAAAACACCATCTTCAACATTAGTTCTGTTTTAAATACATAACATATGTGTACAAAGCTCAAAGTGGTCACCACACAGAGATAATTACCTCAAAAATATAGACTGAGCTTAAGAAAATACTTTGAGAGGAAAGAACAGAAAAACTGTATTTCACTGAAGACATACTGACAATGTTTGGATGAAAAATTAGTTTCAAAATCTGCTTTTATGGCAAGTAATCAAAGCCTCAAAGCTTTCTGTAACTGGCAGCCACTCGGTTTGTGAGTAAAGAGAAACTGGCCATGTCCTAATCTTTAAGAAAATTATATAAACTCCACTTTCAAGTCATGTCACAGGCTGCTGTACTGCATTGAAACCATGGCTGCTGCTATGTACATATGCATTGTCTGAATGAGTAAGTGATCGTGCCAACGCTGCCGTCTTTACCCTGTCTGGTATGTCCAGCGGTGTGCGCAGGAGGTCGGGGCGGGGGACGACATCCAATCATGATCTTTTGCCCTAATAAAACACCAAGGGGCAACAGAGGTTAGTAGAGCCGCTTAAGCTAAGCGCTATTTGGGCTCTACTGGATCCCCCCAAAAAACACCCCTCAGCTGCCCGTCTAGACAGCTCAAGTGCCCATCTGATCAGCTAAAGTGCCCTTTTGATCCCTCCCACGGCACTTGTGATTAGCCCAAGTGCCCCCTGTGTTGGGCTCAAATGCTCTCCAGTTGGTTTAAAAGAGCATACCAGTGACAAATCTCACATACTTTACAGCCGGACCATTCCCTAAGCATTCTGCAAACCACATTTCTTTTTCAAGCTGTGCTTCCTACAATGATTGTACAGCTTGTCTGCTGACAATTTTGTTGTGTACTGTACATAATTCAAACCAATAAGTGTCTCAAACTAAATGTAAAACCGTGCCACGACATTATTCAGCAAATCATGCAAACTTTTTCTTAAAGCTTCCCCAAGTACAGGTGCAGGACAATAACGAAACCAAAACACCCCCCCACCACACATAGGTGTCCCCCTTTTTCAAACAGTCCCTGGTCCCCTCATAGTCTGTGCACACCACTGGTCTGGTCTTTTCGGGTTTCCTGTATTGCATATAATGTGTGTTAGCTAATAACATTTAATCATATGAACTCTTACAGTGTGTGCATGTCACATTCCTTTGTGCAGGCTATTGATTATGTACATAAAGTCTAACTTTGTTACTGACAATCTAAGTTTTAGCTCAATGAAATAATTGCACGATAAGAAAATAACCCTGTATCCACACAAGCTACTTACCTGACTGAGAGACACTAAAGTGAGGAAAGCGTGTTTAGACAGATTTAAGA